CACCCATCGACCCGTCGACCCGTCGACCCATCCACCCACCCACCCAACCATCCACCTGCTGTGTGCCGGACCCCAAGAAAAATCCTTTGAAGCAGAGACGCGTAGAACACAGGTCTTGTTCGAAGCGGTTGGGTAAAAGACAGGCCTGAGGCAGAGCTGAGCTTTGCATCCTCTGCCCGCAGCGTCTGGCCCAGGTGTCTCCGTAGGGCTCTTCTGTTCCCTACAGGGTCCTGGGCAGCCTCTCTGGGCTCCGCTTCCAGGGCAGGGATCGGCCTGGTCCCTGCGTGATGAGAACAATGTCTGCAGACAATGCCCACATCTCCCTGGGGTGCACAAGTGTCTGTAGCTGACACCCTGACACCGATGATAAACGGGTAGGAAGTGGGTGATCTATACACACGGGGTATAGATTCATAAAGCTTTGTGTGGTGTGGGCAGATAGACAGGTAAGTAACAACGATGCCCAATGCACAGATCCACAGACAGACGATTCTCGATAGGTGGGTGATAGACACAGACCCCATTAGAGATCTCCATAGAAGTTTATACACATGAACAGATACATAGATAGAAGATATGGACAGAGAGAAGACGAATAGGCATATAATATGGGTACATCATAGACAAGCAGATGACAAGGAAACATGACAGGTACTTAAATCAATCGATGATACGGACGCGTAAATGGTTGATGTTCTGTGGTTAGATGTAGAGATGGGTCAGGTAGATTCACAGATGAGTATCGGATCCACAGGTCGATGACGCACAGTAGTTGGGTGGCAGGTGCATCTAAGATTCTAGACGATCCATAAGTGAGAGACGCAGAGGTAGAAGACAGAGAGGTGTGTGACAGCGTCAGATCTACGGGTACATGATAAACACTCACGTACACCGGAGACAACACGGGTCAGTTGACAGATAAATACACCAGTGATTACAGGTGCAGACATGAATGATTAGCTGATACAAATAGATAACAGACATAAAGATGATGGATACAGACCGCACAGACCAGATGGATGACTGGTAGATAGTATACACAGGTAGGTGTGGAGAAGACAGATGGATAGATAGAAGGATTACATGACTGATAGATAGGATGTGAGATAGGTAGATACATAGACGTATACAGGGATGGATGAATCAAAGGTTGGATAGACAGACAGACAGATGGCAGACAAAAGAGGGTCTCTCATGCCGAGACATTGGCACACTCTCTACTGTACAAGTGGAACCTCCGATTCCCCATGATGTGATTCTAGATGAGCCTTTTTCATTGTTCTGGAGTTTGCATCAAATCTGTGCCGTTAATTTCCAGCGAGCATCTTCATTCGTGATCTGTCAGGTCACATGCGATACAAACAGCCAGCGAGAGACACGGCAAGACCCTCAGACACTGTCGCCTTCTGTAAACACGGTGCCTCGTGGAGGGAAACAGAGACAACGAATCGTAACGTATGCAGAAGTTTACGAGCTGAACCCCGCCTCAGCCTTGCCAGAGTTTTTAAAGTACCTCTAGAAAAGGGCCTCCCACCTCCCCTGCGATCCCTTTAAAACGTAACACCACGAGGAACCAAACATACAAGACGGAAAGAGCTGAGAAATGCTCACAAAATTTTGGAAGCTTGAAAGCTGATAGGTAAGAGGCAACTGAAATAGCATTTAAAGCTCTCAACCAGTTCTTTTTTCCCCCATTAAGTTGATTGGTACATTTTAGGTGTACAGTACAGTCACAGTCATCACTGGGATCTTGCACCTTTACACGACAGGTCTTGCTTCTCATTTTTCCCCGTTCCCCTGCCCTCCCTTCACCTCCCTCCACCCTCCCCTATTTAAAAGGACTTTGTTTCTATTTCTTCCTTTTCGCATATTTTTTTCTTGTCCCTATTTCCTTTCCCCTACCCCTCCCACTTCCCCTACACCTTTAGCCCTTTACTTCCTATTTCACATTATCAATTACACATTTTGATCCTTATTTACACTTTCAGTTTCTCACACCGGAGAAGCTATTCAGTGTTTACATATGTGTGTCCCCTACCGATTTCACTTAAGAGTACGGGCTCAGCGTGCATCTACTTTTTGGACAATGAACAGTGTGCAGCTGAAAAGAATGTGTATTCGGATTTTCTGGGGCGCAGCACTCTGCAGACGTCTGCTAAGTCCATTTGTTCAAAGACTTGGTCCAGTTCTAGTATTTTGTTGTTGACTTATTTGTCCAATGATCTGTCTGTTTGTGACAGTGGGGCCTTGAGAAACCGGAAATGGCCCCAGCACGGTCCCATGTCCCTGGGGGTCACCCTGCAGCTGCCTGGGATAAATCTACAAGGCAAGGGACTGAATGCAAGTGAGACGGGTTGGGTACAGACCCCCGAAGTTGTATCTGTGCTCTATCCCGCAAAACCTACAGATGGGATCTCATTTGGAAATGGGGTCCTCTGTCAGAGGGAACCAGAGGAGGATCTGGACATGAGGCTGTCCTGCCTCAGCCTCCCTAATCCAATGGCAGCGTCCTGCCTCAGCCTCCCTAATCCAATGGCAGCGTCCTGCCTCAGCCTCCCTAATCCAATGGCAGCGTCCTCACGAGAGACAGACGCAGAGAAGCAGCTACGTGGAGAGGAAGGCTGACACTGGGGTGGTGGGGCCACAGCCCAGGGCCGCCTGGAGCCTAGGAGGAGGCAGAGGCAGGAGGGTGTCCTCAGAGCCCGTGGAGGGAGTGCAGCCCGGGACACCTCTGTCTCAGCCTGCTGGGCTCTGGGAGTGGGAGGGAATGGATTGCTGATGTTTGGAGATACCCGCTTTGGACTGGGCATGGCAGAACTGGGAAACAAACGCTACTATTGAACATTTTCAAATGGGGTCTGCGTCAGCCACGGGCACCAAGTACCTTATGGCCTCGTTACAAGGAGCATTTAAACCACCTTTTCCTCCAAAAAAAAACCATGTTGCATCTGAGCTGAGCATGTACTGGAATCGCATAAAGTAGCATCCTTCTTTATAAAGACTGTGTGAAAAGAGAGCTCTCTGGGAGGCTGAGGCAGGAGGACGGCAAGCTCGAGCCCAGCCTGGACAACTCAGCATTTTAACAAGACCCAAGCTAAGATAAAATGGTCTGACGGTGCCGCTCAGGGCGGAGGCGCTGGGTTCCCCGCCCAGCAGTGCAAGAAAAACAGAGTTGTGTTCTTCCCTCCCCTGAAGGGCTGACTGGGAACATCCGGTCCTTCCTGCGTGTGGATGTGGCGCCCCAGAGGAACCCTCCACCACACTTGCCGCTCTCTGGCGCCTCCCAGGCCCCAGCCCCATCCTTGAGGGCAGGTCTGCCATTGCAAATGGGAGGCTGGGGTGGATTCGGAGCACGGGGAAGAGCTCCGCGCCCCACCCCTGACTTCCGTCTGCAACACGCGGCTCCTGGGAGAGCTCTTCTGTACCTGTGTCGTGGAAAACTCCAGCCCCTCAAGAGGTGCAAGGCCCAGAACTGGTGGATGTCCACGGCACCCTGCCCGCTGGGCCCCCACGGTGGACACCGCGTGGCCATAACCACGGACGTGGGGTTCATTCCGCCCTGGGTGGCTGGTGCTTGGCTCTTTCCCAGCTGACCCTTTGTCTCCCGAGCCTGTTTAGAACCGCGTGAGCCAGCGGCCCTTACGGGTCTCGCAGCACCAACCCTGCCCTGCTTACAGCACCCTCGTTCTAAAGCACATTCCGTTTTGCACCCTTCTGGAGCTGGTAGATGGAGCTAGCAAAGAGGCCACCGTGAAGGACATTAAGATGACGGTAAATGCCCCAATCCAATGGCTTAAACCACAGGGGTTTACCCCGTCCGGCCCCAGAGCCCAAAAGTCTGAGACCAAGGTGTCCAGGGCCATGCTCCCTCGGCAGGCTCCCAGGGAGACCCTCCTGCCTCTGCCTCCTCCGGGGCTCCAGGAGGCCTTGGGCTGCGGCCCGATCGCTCCCGTCTCGGCCTCCGTCTCCACGCGGCTGCTGCTCTGGGTCTGTGTCTCTTCCTCTGCCTCCCGTGAGGACGCAGCCGTTGGATTCAGGGCCGCCCGGACCCCGGACGGTCTCAGCTCAGAAGCCCTCCCTAACTCCCTCTGCAGAGGCCCTGTCTCCAACCCGGGCTCTGTCGGTCAGGATGCAGACATCTTTTGGCGGGGGCAGTCAGGCCATCCGTCGCCGTGGAACCCTGCCCTTCTGGAAGCTTGTGCCTGCCTTTTCCAGCTCTGCCAGGCTTGACAACTTCACTGTCCCCAGCTCAGCTGGTTCGCAGATACTACGACATAGATCTGAGGTGTCCCCCAAAGGTCTCGT